TTGTCGTGTATATGGTAAAGGAATCGTGAACTGAAAAGATGGGAAGCACTGACTGTACAACTGTTTCGACCTGGTTTGGTCTCATCCGACGAGTGAGCGAATCCATCAACCCAGCTAGGGANAGCTAGGGATCGAACCCGGGACCTCACGTGCAGAACGCACGGATGCTACCCACTCGGTCACCGGGCGGCTAATAAGCTGATCACACTGCTGATGAGACCGAACCAGGTCGAAACAGCTGTACAGTTAGTGCTTCCTAGCTTTTCAGTTCACGCTTCATTGGCCAAATACACGACGAATCTCCAGTTTGAAAATAAAATAATAAAATAATTATTAAATTTAAAAAGGCTCACAATTTTTTGTTTAAATATGATGTGACCTGAAAAAGGCGGTTCTGTATGATCCATGTGATCCACAGATAAGTTAAATGGAACAATTTGAATCGCACTGGTAGGGTTCTTATCGGAGAGGTATTACTAAGCTCGTTACATACACTTGTTCTTATGCATGCGCATAAATCTCTGCTCGGTTGGTAGAAGTTAAAAGACGCGTAAATTTTTCACAATTTCATATCCATGGTTTGTCTAAATGAACTTTAAACAACGAACTGAATTTGTGCCCCATCGAGTATCGCGAATCCGGTGAGAAGTTTGACATCCGTGCAGGACAGTTGTTGTTCTACTGACTATCGAAAGGCCCGCTGCTTAGGAATGAATCGACATTTATGCCGCTCATTCGAACACTATCCACTCATATCCTCGCACAACTTTGGGAACCGGGGGGAGGAGGGAGGCGGGTTTTTTTTTAAAAAAATGAAAGTTGAACGGCGTGCCTCTCTGTCAAGCGGTCTTTTACGGCTTGGACTGGACAAGTAATGCAACCCCGGGTTGGCAATCGAAACGCGTGTCGTATGCGCGTTCCAGAGAGCACGGATCAGAAACACCGCCTCACACCACTACTTCAGCATAGTGCACGAAAACCAATCGAATGTTTTGAATGCCCAACCGGTGGACTTGGATGTATGCTTTTATCTCCACCCCCAAACGTGTCAGTTCTTGGCCTGATTATTCCATTCCTCACCCAAAGCCACCCCTTAAACCAGTTGACGTTGTCCTGTATCCACATTGACTTATCGTATTTAGTATTATTATTATTGTTATTATTATTATTATTATTATTTTCTAGAATCCGTTTTATGAACTTTGGGACCGTGATTACATACGAACACTTGCAAACATATATATATATATATAAAGTACTTACGCACAAAAAGACAAGCACACACATAAACATACTCAGAAAAATCTGACAAGAATTCTGTCCCGTGGGATCATCCGGAAAATTTACGCTCGTCGTCTGCGTTCCGTGCACGTAAGCACACATACACACGCACACAGACACACATGCCCACCCACCTGTGTGATGCGTGCTGTTCTGTTGGCTAGTTGCTCTTGTCTGATGAGGGATTTCGCTACTACAGTTGTGCAGCTCCGCCGGCAGATTGAAGCTAGCTCATTGACTGGTACAATTTACATATCTATTCTTGAGGATAGCAGCGATGCATGCATGCATGCACCTTGCCCTAAATAGGCCAATTAGTCAGTATCAAGTCGGAGCAAAGTTGCACGCGTTTATCCTCCCTCCAGATGACATCTGGAGGGGGAGTGGAGTAGAGTGAAGTGAAGTGGAGAGGCAAAAATGGGTCGCTAGTCGGTTCACTGTTCAGAATAACGTGGGTCTCGGTCTTCCATGTAACTGAGTTTCTTCTGTGTGTGTGTGTGTGTGTGTGCACGCGGTGGTATTCTACTGGCAAATTTGTTGGTAAGTCCAGTGGGGAAAATTTATCACACATTGGCAAAGCTTTCCGTGTAGCACGATGCATTACCGTCACTAGACAATCGCGGCAATCCAGTGGGAGTGTGGGGATGTTCGAAAGGGTGCGGAGGGGGGAATGCCAGTCCCAGACCACCACCAGCAACCATTACTTCCTGTTCCCGCTCTCTCTCTCTCTCTCTCTCTCTCCACCTGCCGTAAACATGAGGACAAATTAACAAACAAGCCAGTGAACTAATTAGCCTGGACACCTGTACCAGTTTGACGCCTCCGGGGTCTATTCGGAGAGCAAAATGTGACAGCAGCGAAAAGCGAATCGGTATGCCGAATAAACAATGTATTAGTGACCCTGCTTCCCCCTGCCTCTCCAAACCCCGACCCCGGCCCTTGCCCAAACACGCGTATTCACACGTCACTTTTGGCCCGATGAATTGCCTCTATATGCATATTTGTTCAGGGGGACGAACTGACCGGATTGTGTCTCGCTTGCGAAAACTAACACACACACACACACATGCACACGGCAAACTATGATTTACTCACTTGTGCATTTCACATCTCTGATGGTTGGATGGAGCACGGTTTGTCTGTGGCCACCTACGTACCCAACTGTCCAAATCTCTTGTGTCCCCTGAGTGTGATTACGGAAGTGTCGCCATTAATCGTAACTTTGTGTGTGTGTGTGTGTGTGTGTGTGTGTGTGTGTGTGTGTGTGTAGGCATATACGCATCAGTGCATGCTTGATACCCCTACATAAATTATCCAAACATATAATGTTTTGTATTGTTCCCGTAGAAAAATATGTCCGAACGATTCGGAACTGGTTGTTTCGACAGAAAAAAATAAGCGTAGTGACTGAGACCCGTTACCCGTTACAGTGCAACAAAGTTACACTCAGTCCGTGTACATTCACTCATTCACTTTACGAAGACACATTGCTTTTGCAACGTGCGTTGTGATGAGGTTGTGCGCATCACGTTCAGGGCTCATGTATTGGAACGTTCTATCGGTAGCGTGAAATTAGGATGAGGGTGTGTGTGCTCAAAACATTGAAATAAATAAATCCTTCCGTGTCATATTGAGCATTCAAGCTCAGAGACACCAAGGCATGTGTGTGTGTCCTGCTATAACATGTGGGGGCGAGAGGCCCGGGGGAGGGGGGGGCGTGGGGTGGGGGAGGAGAGGATGAAT